TGCGCAGAGTTAATTTTTTTTTTTTTTTTTTTTTTTTGGGTAAATGCACATCGACTATAGTAATAAATAATAATAATTTATTTATTTTTCTCTCAACATACAAGGTAAATTGTATAAATGTTTACTGATTAATGAGTTTCAACATCAAACCTTATTTGCGAGAGACTGGTGCCTGAGGTAGGCATAAAAATGCCTGTATTATAGGTCACCAGGTCCCCGTTCTTACATTTATGTTACAATCAATTTTACATAAATTAGGTAGGTACAGTCATTGACTTACAAATAAATGGACGACGGGTCTAATACAAAAGCCACGAAAAAAATGTCCCAAGTCAACCTATTTAAACGTAGTGACATGTCAAGGAATATGAAAAAGCTAAAACGTTGAATTTACATTGTAATGTCATCGCAGTACTGTCTAATTTTGCTTGCTTCGCTGTCAGTCGAACAAACGAAGACTAAAGCGTGAATGACGCTCTGTATACGATTTTAACGCCCTATAAGTTCGGACACTTTTTAGCGCGGACCCGACGTCCATATAATTGTAAGTCAATGGGTACAGTAAATAAACAGTAAAAATGGATTGTGATCAATTACTTACTTTAAATTAGCTAAATTAAATTCAATTACTACAATTATTTGAAGAGAATGACAATTGAGATACAAGACCATAAAAGAAATATCAAAAAGTAAATAAATGTGTATGTTAGTTAGGTAAAAGAGAAGTTGGAACAGAGTGCTTCTGCGTGTTGTATTTTTTTTATAACATCAAGTGACAGGACGAACAAGTCGTGCGCCTGATGGTAAGCTACACGCCTGTCGATAAAGGTTGCAGTGCCACTCAGAGCTTTCAATTGCAAAGATCTGAGGGGCACTGTCACTGCGCCCGTCGCCCTGAGACGTAAGTTGACAAGTCCCATGTGCCTGTAATTTCATCAGCACCCTTCAAAACCGGAACACAGTAATGCTGACAATACTGCTTGGCGACAGAAATAGGTAAGGTGGCAGTACTACCATAGACGAACTCTTTCACAAGGAGCTCTACTGCTATTTATATTTGGGTGGGTAAATGTATGCGCAATATTTTAATTATAACGTGGGATGCAAAAGTTTTCAGTTTTGTGATAGTCCAATGACTTAAGCCACTTTACTTTTGACTGAAAGATTTGTAAAAGAAATGTACAAAATTTTTGCGAAATATGTAAAGAAGCAGAAAAGAAATGCGCGAAACAAAATCAAGTGCGTATATCATACTATACATATAACTAGAGGAAATTATTCAGCCGCTCCTCAACCGATATGCACGAAATTTGAAATAAGCATAAAAATACAATTTTATAGGTCGTGACGAAGCAAGGCGAAGAATTTCCATTTCTTACCTGAGATAAATTAAGTCAAAGGTTAGGTCTACGGGAAAACTATTCAATTATAAAATTTTGCTCGCATAAATTTGCAAAACTGTGGAAAAAAAAAAGTATAAGAAAGAATGTTGCGCTTCGGTAGGGAACCCATATCGTCGTCTTAAAACACAAAGTTACTGAAATGCAAAAAATTGATTGTGTATGGTCTCACCATACATACTTAAGTACAAATCTGCGCACGCGGCAACCTACTTAGGCCGCGCGCAGCTCTTTGTTTTATATAACTAATTAATCTTTAATTTTAACTCAGTACGTCAACTGTCCACAGAGACACTACTTAAGGAAAGATTTGCCACCTAACACTTGTAACTTATTACGAAAATATACTTTGAACTTTCAAGCAATCTTTCTCTTCGTGCTACTCTACTACTACAACTAACTTACAACTACAGTGCATGTATGGACTATACCTGGCCCATACAGATTGTATATAAAAATGATGCAGGCTTATTTCACTTCACATTTTCTTCATATTTACACACTAGCTTTTATCAGTAAATATACTTGATAAGAAATTTAAAATAAATAGAAAGTTTTGCTATCTCCTGAATAACCACTTTTCATAAGATAAGAGTTTGAGAAAGTAAGGCATTGATATTCCGCATAGTATACATGATATTTGTAACATACTAACAACCTCGCCTTACCTCATCAAGGACTTTTGTTCCATTACTTTTAATAATTTGTCAGATTTTACTTATGTACAAAAATAAATATATTTAAATAGATAGCTCTTAACGGTGATAACCAGTGGTCGAAATCGAGGAAATTAATCTATCATAAGTTTGAACATTTTCTTAGTATGGACATACCCATTTCGTCATCAATGCGTACAAAATTCCTGTTTTACTATTTTCTAAACATTCCAAAACATAAACAGTCTCATGTTTATTTTTAAAATGGCTAAAGTATTTAAATATCTATAGAACACAACTACAATATAATTTTTTGAGATAATAATTTGTAGCAACACTTGATAGGAAATAATAATAATTTGTCGACAATGTACTCGATAAATGTTACGCATATTCAAATTAAAGTCAGTTCCGAGAAGTTCCGGGATTTGTAAAAGGGAATGCCCACATTATTCCTTAGTTTAGCTAAATTAACTGCCTCAATTCCAACCACTGGTGATAACACTGCGGTAACAAAAGAAAGCGCAAGCATAAATACCTACCTGATGCAAAACGCTGAAGTCGAGATGGGGTTGTATAATAAAGATAACCTAACCTCCGGTTAAAAAACCGACCTCAAAAGTCATTCATCCCCTAGTTTACCACCCTTAGAGGTGGAATATTTTCTTCAAATTTAAATGGGACCACTTCTGAGGTACCCTCTTTCCAACAAAAAAAGAATCATCAATATCGGTTTACAAATGGCGCAGTTATCGCGTAATGCATACAAAAAAAGAGATCTGAAAACAAAAGAAAGTACGCGGAAGGCGTGGCTAAACAACAAATACAAATCTAAAAAGAGTCCGATAGTACACCAAAAAGTTTATTTCTGGTAAATTTGTTAACCGACTTCAAAAAGAGGAGGTTCTCAATTCGATTGTTCTTTTTTTTGTATATATGTTACGCGATTAGTTCCGGCATTTGTTAACCGATTTAGATGATTCTTTTTTTTGTTGGAAAGGGTACCACAGTATTGGTCCAATTTAAATTTGAAGGTGGAAGTGGATTTTATTTAAGTCATAATTACTTTGTAAAAAGTCATTGCACTACAAGTTTGTCTTAAGAAGCTCTTCTATGCTAGTATTTATTTTCTATTAATAAACAGGTATAATTTGAATCCAATATCCTATATTTAGCAGAACAGGAAAGAGCCTACGCGCAGATAACCATAAACATTCAAAGCCTGGACGAAGCAATAAAATAATGTTGCACAACACCTATTTTATAACCACGCTTCGTTAACAGGGAAGAGATGATATAAATGGTATTAAAGGGCACTGTACTACTCAGATGATTAGGTTTTTTTTCTCTTGATGGAACTAACTTTCCAGACTGACCGCATTTCGCGACTTCTGGTTAATGGTCTTTACAATTTTCCACTCATCCCTATGTTGAGAAGCAATTACAGAACTCCTTGTCAAAGAGTTCGTCAAAAAAAAAACTGCCATCGTATCTATTTCTGCCACCAAGCAGTAATGTGATCATTATTGTTGCTGTTGAAATTAGGCATATAGTAAAAAAGCATTACTGCGTTCAGGCTTTGAAGTGGGTGTTGGTGAAATTACAGGCATATCATAGAAAAAATGTTGGATCCATGTGGGATATTATGTATACGCATCTCCTGGGCGGTGATACCCTGGTTACTAATTGGTAATTGACGACTATAATGTTTTTGGGTTTGAAGGTTTGAATATGAAATAACGTCCGAAAAGAGAATGATGAGACATTGCATCTGTAGCCTCTACCCAGACTGTCGACCAAAAAATGCACAACGTAATTTACACTCTTATCACACAGACATAAAGATTTTTCTCGGTTTAATGCGATTGCGTGCCGATAAGTGTGTTGACTCTATAGCTCGATAACCAAATCACTTTCATCACCAATAACATTTGCAATCGTAACACATGAAATTATTCTGTTCCCTTTGCTTCGTATTGAGAGCTGAGGAAGATTTCTCAATCGATTGAATCTCATTTTACGAAATACGCATCACACGTCACATCCCATATTAGATGCGGAATGACGTCAGAGCACCTGCGTATACGTGATGCGAGTGGACGATGTTTCAAATAACAAATTATGGGCCAATTTGTTGGATCACTTATCCTTATAAGGTATCGATGATCTCAGTTTAATGCACAAGTATGGACATGAATGACGTGTCCTGTTAACTTGAAATTTGTTGTGGAAGTCGTCTGTAGCACGCAGGGCGGCATCATATCTTTCTACCTTAGTTTTGATTATAGTGACCCTCCATACCGACACTTAGGGTATACGAAAAGGGCATCATAACCAGTGCGCGCACAGGAATCTTACAAGTTCAGATCAGCCAGTGTACAGGATTGTCACAGACCTCTGTCACTTGAGTTTATTTAGTTCTCAAGAGGCTAATGCCTCGGATGAGCCGGGTGCACATAGAGTTCGTCAATGACAATCCTGCTACAGTACCTATTTCTGTCGCCAAAAAGTAATGTAAGTGTCTCCGGGTGACGAGCGCAGTGGCAGACCTTCAGATCTTTGCGATTCAAAGCCTTGAGTGACACTGCAAGTTATGGGTAGGCCACCAGAGTTACTACTTGTTCGTCCCGTCACTTGATAGTCACACCAATTTGGATTGTTGACGGCTATAGCTTTCACAGTAGGTAACAGTTGGCTATTCAAAAAGACGTTCGCTTGTTTTACTTTAAATTTCGCTTTTTCGATGTTAACATAAGTAAGTCAACATAAATAATAACGACGACGGCGTCCAACGTTTTCCATATTGTCTCGATTATGGCTGTTCGTGGTACCGTCGTTGTTTCCGATTTACATAACACGATTGCTTTAGTTACCTACTTTGGGATCTGAGCAACATATGTGTTGTTGTCCAATAATTTAAAACATAATTCGTTAAGATACTCACCCATCCTCTTTCATGACAGAGTTATCCCCACAATCACAAGCTCCACCGGCCTGTGACAGGAACATATTAAAGTCGTGGGTCGAATGGTCCCCCCTGTGGAAGCACTCCCGGCAGATGGACATGCAGGGGGAGATGCCGCACGTGCGGCACCGGTATGCCACCACGCGCGGTATCCACACCAACCCGCATTTGTCGTGCTTATCGTAGCTTCGCACTGTGGACAAAAGAAAATACGATTTTATAGATATTGTTGTTTACGTTTAGTTGTTTAACTTTGGCATAGATAAAGCGTTCCACATGGTTATTAAAGAAATTGTCTGCATAGTTTTCCAAAGTGGTCCCCAGTGGACGCTGAAGAGTCCTAGGGTAGGGGCCTCGGAAGCAATTGGGGGGCGTTGAAGCGGTCCTGGGGGTGCCACCGAATTTGAAAAAAAAAAACCCGAATTACATATATAAACTACAATACATTTTTTTTTCTTTGTGATTTTTTTTGTGTTAAGTTAATATAAAAAATACATGTTTTCAATTATTTTTTGTCGTGGTTTGCGCTGAATTTTTTTTAAACATGCCTAAGTGGGCGGTGAGTCAAAAAGTCCGGGAAACTATGGTCTAAACTAAAGTATAAAATAATGTAGATAAATAATAAATAAATAAAATTGTTTATTGAATAACGTATTGTACAAATGAATAACTAAAGACTAGTGATGCGAATAAATGTCAAATGTAACACATACACCTGAACTAGGAGAATCCTGTATTTCAGGTAAAAAATACTAATTATACAGGTGAATATGAATGATGATTAAATTATAAACAAAAAAAATTATTGAAATATAAACAAAACAATAATAATAATTAAACAAGGAAATGCAAATCATAACCTGTTACGCTTAAATTAGACAACATTTCTTGGAGAAAGAAGGAATTCTTGGAGAATTTTCTTAACCTTTATATAACAAAATGGATGCTCGATGATGGATGGATGATGATGAATGGAGCTCACTCCAGCAAGCGTAATAGATTTCAGCTTTACTGCGATCATCCATTTACAAAACATTGCAGTTTTGCAAATAGAAATATGGTGAAAAATATTTTTTCTTAATCTTTTAAGAAATCTTCAAGCCGCGGTAGTGTAAGTGTAATATACATATATATAGTAATTTGGTGTTCATTCGAATAATACGGAATCGGACAATGGACGCAACAAAGAAAATATTATTTTATTTAAATAAAGCGTTTCAAGTCACGTTAAATGTAAATGAAAGTAAATTGCCGCGCAAACGGTACCAAATTGTCAACTCAAAACGCGTGACGTCATTTGTAGATAAACTAGACAATGTGATTGTGTACTTGCCTACAAGAATTTAACGTATTAGTTGACTACTATCCTTTGTCTAAAATTATTAGTTTTTAGTTAAAAAGTGTATGTCTCAGACTGACGGGCGCAGTGGCAGTGCCCCTCAGATCTTTGCGATTTGATCATTGACTTACAAATAAATGGACGACGGGTCTAATACAAAAACCACGAAAAAAATGTCCCAAGTCAACCTATTCGAAATTTAAATTGTAATGTCATCGCAGTATCGCGCTGTCAGTAGAACAAATGAAGACTAAAGCGGAGATAGCGCTCTGTATACGATTTTAGCGCCTTACAAGTGCGGACACTTTTTAGCGCGGACCCGACGTCCATATAATTGTAAGTCAATGGATTTAAAGCTCTGAGTGGCACTGCAAATGTTATCGACAAGCGTGTAGCTTACTATCAGGCGCACGACTTGCTCGTCCCGTCACTTGATATTATAAAAAAAAATTACCACGCTCGATAAGAAATTTAAAATAAATTGAAATTTTTGCTATGTCCTGAATAACCTCTTTACAAGATACGTGGTTGAGAAAGTAAGGCATCGATATAAATAATAATCATCCACGGATGATGATACAAATGCCAATGAACCACAACAACATACCTAACAATTAAATGGCAGCATTGAATTGTATCTCTAGCTGGGAAACAACTAGAACGAATACGACAGTACAAGTATTTGGGGGCTTGGGTAAATGAAGCATGGGAATCTGATCAGGAAATCAAGACCCGGATAGGAATTACTCGAGCCTCTTTTAACAACAAGAGGAAAGTTCTGTGCTGTCGTAAACTGAAAGCTCCGAGTCAGGTTACTTTTACGTTACATCTGGCCTATCGTCATGTACGGCTGCGAAACGGTGACCTTAAAAGAAGACACTACAAGACGCCTGTAAGCATTTGAGATGTGGTGCTACCATCACATGTTGCGCATTGGTTGGACACAGAGGGTCACGACGAAACCGTGCTTCAGCGTGTCACATGTCAGGAACAATAGATACACGCTGCTACAGTTAATATAATGGGCAAAGTGCAGAAAACGAGACGCGCTGGGCGAAGAAAGAAATCGTGGCTGCGGGACATCCGGGAGTGGACCGTCGTCTAACAACTGTTTCGGTTGGCTGCTAATAGACGGATACAGGAAGCTGACGGCCAACCTTCAGCATTGAACAGGCACTCTAAGAAGAAGAAGAATTGAATTGTATAAAGCCATTAATCGCAAATCATTGGGAACAAAGCAGTCGATGAAGTGGCAGATTGAGTGCCGCCAACGTCAGATTTGCCCGGGTGAATTTGGCAATAGCATTATGAGTAAGGTAAAAAAAAGAATGATCACATTTAAAGATAATCTACCTATGAATTTGTAGCCTCATCATTATTTGCATTTATTTATATAACTGCCACTTGGCATGAGTTGCAATGCCACTGAAAGAAAAAACAGGTTATCTTTTAGATTTGTTAATTGGATTACTGTTAAAATTATTATAATACTTCAGTGAGTGCATAACAACTTACGAAAGTTACATCGCAATCAAATGTATAAGAATGAAACGTATACGGTGTTCTACGAGGTGTGGTGTACATACGAACATTCATTTTTAATCGAATTTCAAAAAAGGAGATACGTCTCAATTCCTCTGCTTCTTTTGTGTATATATATATATATATATTACGTGATAACTCCGACAATTGTTAACCGATTTCCATGCTTCTTTTTTTGCTGGAAAGGGGATACCAGAAGTAGTCCCATTTAAATTTGAAGAAAATACCTCACCTCTAAGGGTGGCAAACCAGGGGATGAATCCGGTTTCACGAACTTTCCGTTAACCGATTTCAATAAACCTTGGCAAATAGATGTAACTCCAATAAAAAAGCCAATATTTGTGGTCGGTATTATTTACATAAAAAAGTTATAATTATAGGAAATGAAACTATATACTCACACACACAACCCACAGTCCCACAGTCAACCGTGACCATGGGACCTGTAAAGGGCCCGAAACGTCGGTTTGCTTGAAAAAAGAAATATACGCGATTTAAATCCGGAAAAATAGTTTCATTTCCTATGTGTAACAATCGCGAAAACCTAAGAACTCGAAAAGTTATAATTATTGATAGTTTGTATGGAATTTGTTTGACCGCCTTTAATTTTTTTAACCGACTTGAAGAAAGAAGGTAGTTCTCGATTCGACTGTACATTTTTTTGTGTATGTGACGCAATTACTCCGATATTTGTGAACCGATTATGATGATTTTTTTTACTCGAGTAACATACACACAAAAAAGTACAGTCGAATTAAGAAGCTCCTCCTTATTTTGAAGTCGGTTAAAATATAAACCAAAAAAACAATACAAATAATTCAGAGACCTTTTAGAATGGGTTATTTATCCACTATACCACAGATAATCGCGTATTTTTTCCTTAAAGTTTAAATAAATAAACCTACAACGTCTATTCTGTTCTCTGGCGATGACTGGTTACGACAGGGTATTTATGACGTCATAAACAAGGGAACGCAAGGCGGGGCAAGCGAACCATCGGAAACAAAGAGACGAATGTCAGTTTGATTGTTAAGCAAATGAGATGCGTCAAGCCAGCAGATTGGAACCCATCACTTTAATTGCTTCGTCATTGTTTATATCTCACTAATAAGTTATTAGACTTGTAATAAAGTCAGGACGATACGAAAACTCAGCCTGGTTGAGGAATTAAAGACCAGGTCAGGGCTCCGTCACACGCTCAAGGTTACGCTATAAGCGGACCGACGCCGGCGCAAGCGCTCATGCAAATATTTCATTAATGAGCATTCGGCTCCGCACGATTGCAACGGCGGATAACGTTATTTTCACCTCTCTGAGCGGTTGCTTAGGCTCCTTTTTCCTCGTAGTGAGCGCATGGTGTCATTAGTCAGATTTAGTAGGCTATTACAGTGCAGGTATTTTCGATTTTGTATGACAGTGTCGTATCTGTATCACAGTAACTTTTAAATAATCTGTACTATATATTATATATACGAGTATTACAAATTCCTTCAAAATTTATATCAGATCTTACAAAAGTACCCATGTTGTGACAGCAGCCCCAAAAGACGCGGTCGTTAATGGTGTCCCTGACATGACCCGTAAATGACCATGAATAAGGGTCACATCCATTAAAGCGGAAAGGACTTGAGCCGGTCTGAAAAAGCTTTTACGCTTTTGCAATAAGAGCGAAGAAGACGTTACGCGTTTCGCTTGCTTAGCGACAGAAATAGGTACGGTGTCAGTACTTCTCTGGACGAGCTTTTTATCAAAGAACACTACTCCTGCTAAAACCAAGTGGTTACTTTTATCTATATTTATAAATTACAAAAAAGCGATCAATCACAAAAAAACGTCCTTTTGTCAATGACGATGATATCGCGATCTGTATCGCGGGTACCACGGACATACACATAGACAACCACAAATTACACCCAAACTCACGAGAGAAATAAATGAAGGCCATACAAATATTTCTCTCGGCCCGGGAATCGAATCCGGGACCTTTGCGTGGCAGTCCAGCATGGTAACCGTTCGACCACGGAGGCAGTTTATGCCGATGTTTATGACCATGTAACATAAAGTTTTATATTCCCGATAAGTGTGGTAACACAATTACGGTGACATTATAGGCACACGACTATTTTCAACTTATGTCTAAGGTTGATGGTCGCATTGACAGCGCCCCTCAGATCTTTGCGATTTCTATTAATTTGCGGTAGTCGCGGATCCGAGACGGACCTATTTCCGGTCCTCATGGACGGCCAATTAACTTCCGCAAGTTAAGAGTTAAAGTTCTGGGTGGCACTGTTAGGGACAGGCGTGTCGCTTAC